TTTGTCAGAATCGAAATTTGAATTTTTTTCGTAAGTCTCTGGTAGTACCAACAATTATTTATTATCCTCGAATACAAGAGTGGGCCGAGGAAACTGACGCTTTAATATTTTCCAGTAGGTAAGTAGTGTGTGTGTGTGTGTGTGTGTGTGTGTGTGTGTGTGTGTGTGTGTGTTAATAATTTCCCGGCTGGTAGTGTGTGTGTGTCTGTTTGTGTATACATCACAAGACTCCCTGCTATACAAAGCAACAGTTTTTATCCAGGAAGTGATCACGTGACTACGGACAATGGTTAAAACTTGACACGGCTTCTTTTTCGTACTGACCCCGACGAACACCGAACCCATAAACTGTCGAAACTTGCTCTATTCCCTTGCGTATATCTTTTCATAGATACCAATATGGATGCCAAAAATGATGTATTAAACGAATTTACTCATAAATTTCGCTACATTTGAATGCGTTCTTTGTTCGAAAATCACAAGCCTATTTGTTGACAGGAGAGAATTTGCGAGATTTTATGGAAGGAAGTTTTCGTTTTATTTATTTATTTAATTTTGTAAATACTATTTAAATAAATACAACTTTGCTCTTCCCTCGGGATAACTTCTCGTGATGAAGTTGACGTTATTCGTCATGTCAACCTATTTTAGGACAAGGCAAACGGCGAAAGGACTGAGATTTAATACAGTTTTAATGAGTCATCCAATAATTCAAATCTCGTCGCCACTCTCACTCAGTTCCCAACCGATCTCGTTTATTTTAATTACTTCATATTTTAAACCATTTTTTCCGTAAGTTTCTCCATTCCTCATTCAGTTTTGATCAACAATATTTCTTTTATTCTTTTCTGACCCCACACTGCAAAATAAAACTTTACATCACATATAACCAGATTCAATAATCTCTTTAACCCTCTTTGGGGATATACATATGTGTCAAGTTATAGGGTCACCATCACCACTATTTACATTATTCAAACTATTGTCCTCATCTTTGTAGCCTTATTTATTACAAGGTTTCGGCCGTTGTACGCTCCGGCCTTCTTCAGGTGGTTAGAATGTCGAACTAACTAACGCCTTTAGGACCCAAGGAGTGTGAGTTCAATACCCGGTTAAGGCAGTGGAGAACTTTCAGAGAGGAATTAACAGGAGATAACTGATAACCGACATCCATTAAACATGGCACGTGGAACTAGAACAGTCTAACCCAGTGAGCGAAATAAAGCGTGCAGTTCGACATTCCAACTACCTAAAGAAGGCCGGAGCGTACAACGGCCGAAACGTTGTAATAAATATGGCGACAAAGATGAGGACAATAATCCGAATAATGTAAATAGTGTACATAATACCTCACCTCAGAATATAGACAACAGATACTGAAGGGCCGAAACGTTGTAATATATATGGCGACAAAGATGAGGACAATAGTCCGAATAATGTAAATAGTGTACATAATACCTCATCTCAGAAATGTAGACAGTCACCATCACCTTATTATATTAAAAATGTTCGAACACTCATCTGAATGCATTGTTATATTTCAGCATTTTAGAATAGTAAAAAAAACAAAAAAAAAAAAAAAACTCCAGGATATCAGATTACGGACGATGTATATGTGATGTATCTTAAAATCTTATAACTCATTTTCTAATGATAAAAATATTAAGTTTATCACCAGATTTTTAACATTACATATGGTCATGATAATAATGAAATTATCCGTTTCCATACAGGAAATATTCGCTATTCACTTCCATTAGATTTCTCCAGTTTAATGTTATCGCTCTTTCTAACATTGATAGTTTATTTATTTATTTTTAATCTTTTTCCTCCAAGCAAAGCGGGGGTGCTACTAGTACGCAGGGTTTACAGAGAGTGAGAAAAGACTCAATATAGGGCGGAGAGTGGAAATGATAACAGATGAACAGGGTTCAAGACAACATAAGATGGGGATTGACGTTGCATTTAAATTTTTGAAGATTGTAGTTATCAGGGAAGCAAGTAAACGGAAGGAAGTTCCACTGTCGGGTGGTGCGAGAAAAGAAACTGTTGAAGTAGAAGTGACGGTTACATTTAACCAATCTAGTAGCACGCTTAAATTCATGTAGTCGGGGCCCCAAGGGAAAATGTTCCTTAGAGCAGTTGTCATGAAGATATTTGTAGAAAAGACAAAGGGAAGCCACATAACGCCTGTGAGAATGTCACTGATGTCGAGATGCCAAATCAGGATCGATTACATTGCAGATCCTTCTTTGAATTTTGTCAAGAACCTCGAGGTGAACAGTAGGGGCAACAGTATTCAATGCATGGGCAAATGGTAGATTTGTAAATGTGCAAGATGGACTCTGACGAGAAAAACCTGGCATGACACAGTGACCCAACTTTCCTTGCAATAGATGCAGCTATTGACTCAGTGTAGTTGTTCCACTTCAAGTCAGTTGAAAACGTGAGGCCAAGAAGGCGCAATGAGATGCTCACCTAGAGTCGAGCATCAGCCATGCTGATGGCGGGCAGGAAGGTTTCTCTACGTTGGTTAAATGAGAGCAGTTTAGTTTTGTAGGCATTAAAATTTAAAAGCTATTTCCTGTCCCAGTTAACAACTAATTGGAGGTGCTTTTCAAGAGCTGTGACCAGGTTAACTTTGTCTGCTCTGACGCATTTGCTATTGAGACACAGAAGTAAATGCCGAGTAAGAAAATAAGAACCAAAGAGATGAACGCTGTTTAACTTGGTATTTCCTTGATGGAACGAAAGCATCAATGCCGGCTTTCACCCAGGAAGAGACCTCAGATGCGCATTTTTGAACAGGATCATTAAAAAAAATTTCCATTGGAAGTAACGAAGTAAATCACGGAACGAGTCCCAATCTGCTCATTGAGAACAGAAGGATATTCTGTTGGTAGGAGATTTATAGCTGGTGGGGGAGCGGAAGATCAGAGTTACCAAGAGGGCAGAGCTGCGTAGTATGACACGAATCAGGGACATAAAAAGATAAAAAGAAATTGAGAGAAGTGTGTCCATCAGGGTTACTGGGGAAATGGTTTTGGAAGAGAGAGTGATAGACTGTAATGGTGGGCATTGAAGTCACCGATCACGAATATTTTTGCAAACGCGTGTAGGGAGATGGCCTTGTCTATATTATCGGAAATACTATCTAGCATGGAACAGTCTTGCAGTGGGGGGTGACGGTATAGAAAGAAGAGATAGATGATTTGAGTTTAGTAGAGAGAGACGGAGACACATGTAAGAATGGTCTGGAGATTCAAGAGAGAGTTCCCTAGCCAGCGGGACATGTTCGCGGAAATAAACTTCCAGACTATAAGGAGAGGAAGTTAGCCCGGAATCGAGAAATCAGAGGAGTAAGTTAAAGAGTTAAGATTAGTTTCACAGAGAGATAGGATGTCCGGAGACTTTTCGAAAAAGAACGATTCAACACTGCAGAGGTTGGTACAAATGCCACGACGGTTGGAGAAACAAAAGTTAAGGGTTTAGGTGTTTTTTGTTAATATTGTGACCAAGTAATTGGTTAAGAAATAACAAAACAAGAGGTTGCAGATAAATAGTGTATTGAACAGTAAATACAACAGGATTGTGTTATACGACTTAGGAGTGTGTGTCGGTTGACAAGCGTTCAGTCTCTCACTGTTCCCCCGAGGCCTACTTTTCCTACTAACTTTATAGTAAGTGGAAAAGTCCACAATAGCCTCCTTAGAGGGAAGATACCACACTAGTTGAAGTGGGTTATGATTATATCTTTGGTCGTTTATAGTCATGGTGTGTTATACGGGTAAGGAAAAGGACTTGGGTAGTAGTAGCGGTCGGTCATCTAATGTAAGATGTTCAGAAAGGGAACTGGCGCAGACTGCAAGATACTGTGGTCTCGGGGTTGCCCACCGGAGGTACTTGGAAGGACACCCTTCCACGCGCGACATGGCACTGCAAGAACCCCGATATTATGCAACTGTTGATCAGAGCAGCCTCTCACGACGCTACACAAGAGTTCAGGTTTCAAACTACCAGTCGGTTATCTGACTCGTGTCGTATTATACAGCTCTGCCCTCTTGGCAACCAGAAAACTGACAACCAGATACCCTCAGTATGAAGAGACGTTGCTACCATCCACGCATATCACAAAAATTCATGACAGGAACACTATTAAAGACTGAGAAAATCAAAGGAACCGGGACCCTCTTCCTAAACATGAAAGAAGGTATGAGACTATAGTCCGGTTCAAGAGGAGTGGGAGGAGTATGGACCGGGTGATAGGAGAGTCTATTAAAAAAAACAGGGTTTGACTTCCAAGTAAATTATTTCGAAACAACAACTTTCTTTCAGATAACGTATTATTTAGGGAGTCAAGCTGAGGCCCACAGATATCCGGAACACACATATATACATACCTGTGCGCCTGGAAGAGGGAAGAATATAAAATACAATAATTAAGTTTTAACTTAGTATAAGTCCGAATACCAACTCTTTCAAACCGCGTTGGTAAATCTCCAGTCAGTAACTACTAAATGAAGAAAGCTTCATTAAATACTGCGAATCAAATTAATATCACATTAACTCGATGTTTAAGACATCTCTCTAGAAGATGGAAAACTCTAACATAGTAAACTGCGACTTTCTTTTTAATCCATTGATGTGAACCAGTTCTTTTATTTTGGGACACCCTAATATGAGGGCAGAATTAGAAATGATTCGGTTGATATCCAAGTGTGCTCTAAGCCTACCGGGAGTGAAAGAACCCCTGGTCATAGCTAAGACATATCCATAGAAGATGGCAAAATCTGACATAATAACCTCCGATTTTCTTTTTAATCCAATGACGTAGAATATTTCTTCTTTTTAGACAAAGTTCAGAGAATGGGATTGGCTCTGTGCTGGGACTTTTTTCACTAAAAAAAAATCTTCATACAAAGCTTCATATCATATTTATTTAAAATCTCCGCTGCCTACATCAGAGGATGAATCAGGCAATAACATTGCTACATATTGAGTCGCAACAATCTATCTCATTTTGTCCCTATCTATCTATCTATCTATCTATCTATCTATCTATCTATCTATCTATCTATCTATCCTAATCTACCCCTATCTATCTATCCTAATCTGTGCCATCTATCTATCTATCTATCTATCTATCTATCTATCCATCTATCTATCTATCTATACTAATCTACCCCTATCTATCTATCTATCTATCTATCTATCTAGTATTCAAATATATGGTCATCTTTCTTTCTCTCATGTTTTAGGTATAGAAAGGTTCGCCTATCGTCTTTTTCACACTTCTTCTTCTAAAGTCTACTTCATCTCTCTACTTCTAAATTCTCCGCCTAAACTCTGAAATATTATTTACTATTTATTTTTCTCAATAGGTGTAGATTGGTTCTACTATCGCCCTTTTCTCACTCCTTGAAGACTTACGAAAACTTACAGACCAATGACAATAAGAACTCCGGAATTAATAGTGAATTTTTCTGATAATGTTCTCACATAATTTGTTATTGTGTTACGTGTATGGTGCCGTCTGTCTAAATAGGCGAGGCGTCAAAAATCTTCAAAGACGCCTCGCATTGAAAGCTCACCAAAATATAAATGTAACAACTACTTCAAGAAGCACCCAACGTTGCCGCATCTACACATTAAAACGTAAAACCCTAGACCGATTCAAAAACCACATCCGCACTGCCGATATGTGAGAAGAAATCAAGCGACGTCATTACTCGAAATCGCTTCATAGCCATCCTGTCTATGGAAAAGCATAGTATAGTGTAAGCGGAAGTTAACTGTTTCAAATGAAAAGATCAAATGACAAAAATAAGCACACCACACAAACGCTCTGCGCACCCTTCCGGTTTGAAACATATATGAAATTTTCAAATTGATAAAAGTAAAGAATAACCAATAAAATCAGCTCCAGCCAATAAGTAAACATATACTTTAGGAGCCTACGGGAAGCGATATAAACCAGATATCGATTCAACTCAGCAAATAGACTGATAGCGGTAAAGAGACACGAGTCAACACCGTCGTCCTGTCTTTCTCACCAAAACAACAGCTTTGATCTTGTCTCCAAACTCCACTTTCACTCTTCCTCACTGAAAGACTATTTATATCCATTTCCTTTTCAATCAGAGAGGTGATAGTAGTTACATTATTTACATTGTTCGGACTATCGTCCTCATTTTTGTTGCCATATTCATCACAACGTTTCAGCCGTTATACGCTCCGGCCGTCTTTAACCACCTGAAGAAGGCTGGAGCTTATAACGGCCGAAAGGTTGTGATAGATATAGCAACAAAGATGAGGACAATATAAATAGTGTACATAATACCTCATCTCAGAAATATAGAGAAATATTGAATTATCCTCTAGCATAACGAATAGAGTTTTCCTCTTCTATGACTGAATTTTTTAGTACATCGATTAGAAATCACAGAGTTTTCAGATCGATTTTACTCGTTAAGACGAGTATTAATTTTGCTCATTCTATTTTTATCGATGATATACACGGGAAAGATTAAATTAAGTAGAACCCCTGACAAGCGGGTTAAGAAGGCCTTCCGGATATGAGGAATTGGTTACAAAGTCCGGATATGAGGGGTTATATTTAGATTAAAATAAAAAGAACTGAAATCAGGTTTAAAATTTATTTTCAGTGTTTTATAGTAGACAAAATAAGCTAATGGTGAGTGAAATATAATGCAACAATATAAATAGTGTAATACCTCATCTCAGAAATATAGACAGATACTGAAGAGCCGAAACATTGTAATAAATATGGTGACAAAGATGAGGACAATAGTCCGAATAATATAAATAGTGTACATAATACCTCATCTCAGAAATATAAACGGATACTGAAAGGCCTAAACTTTGTAATAAATATGGTGACAAAGATCAGGACAATAGTCCCAATAATGTAAATAGTGTACATATCTCATCTCATCTCGAAAACGTCGTAATAAATATGGCAACAAAGATAGACATCTCAGGAATATAGACACTGAAGGGCCGAAACGTTGTAATAAATATGGCAACAAAGATGGGGTCGAATAATAAATATGGCAATAAAGATGAAAGGACGAAAATAGTCCGACAAAATAATATAAATAGTGTACATAATACCTCATCTCAGAAATACCTCATCTCAGAAATATAGACAGATATCTGAAATAAGGCAGATACTGAAAGGCCGAAACGTTGTAATAAATATGGTGACAAAGATGAGGACAATAGTCTGAATAATGTAAATAGTGTACATAATACCTCATCTCAGAAATATAGACTCAGTTAAGAATCTATTTTTTTCGTTAAATAAAATCGTCTTTTATGAACAGGTAAGATATTCTTTATTCAAAAAATGGTGAATCATAGAAACTTTCACCACAATAATATATAATGGGGGTAATATCTACGGTTTAAGACATTGGTTGATGTCTTTTGACAAAGATGAGGACAATAGTCTCCAAGAATAATGTAAATATGTGATTGAGCGCAGAAATATAATACCTCATCTAAAGAAAAGAAATATGGGACAGGGATATAGTAGTTACAGTTAAAAATTTGTCTATTTTCTGAGTTAAATAAACATTGTTCGTCTTTTTATTTGACAACACGCCATTTGTAACTGAGATGAGGTATTTCTCTTATTCTTTATTCAAAAAATGGTGAATCATAGAATCTTTCACCAACAATAATATATAATGGGGTTAGGTAATATCTACGGTTTAAGACATTGGTTGGATGTCTTTGAATATATACTCCGCTTATAAGAAGCGACGATTATTATTGGACAATAGTCTGAATAATGTAAATAGTCTAAATGGAAAAATGTTGTGCCATATTTGCAGAAAACACTCTATAAAAATTACTTTCGCTGCTGGCGTTTGAATCTCAGATACTTGAATATCAAATTTCGTCACTGTGAGAATTGTATTTCATCAGCTGGATCATTGACTTTAATGGAAACCAAAACTTTAACTTGCACTGTTTTTTAATGTTTGACTTGAGAGCTAGTTAAGTAGATTCATAATTCAGAGGTCATTAATATAATTTAGGCAGTGAATTTTGTTACGGCGTATGAAGTGAAACCATTTTCTTATTTTAAAGTCTTATCGGAGTATAGAAATACTCTAAACAGTTTTTTAATTTGAATTTACAGCAGTGAAATACGAGGGTCGGCTGAAATGTTCATAGGCTGATTATCAAGGAGTAATGATAGAGCTGTGAAATAATGCATGCATCAATTTCAACTCTTTTTAATAACTGCATTGTATCTTTCTCGGTTCTGACATCTGACTACACAAAGAATAATTAAAATGTAACTAATAAAGAATTCTCTTAAAATTGGACAAAATTTGACATCGTTGTGTTTTCAATTACCTGCAGATAAAAGACTTTAGCCCCAGGGACATTCATTCTGACATGGTTGCGACATTAGAGGATGATTTTCCAGCTTTATGAACAGTGCAAAAGTTGGCAGCGGAATTTAGGAGCGGAAGGGAGTGTCTTGAAGATGACCCACGGACTGGACATCCTGCAACTGTTACTACGAGGAAAACATTGATCGTATTTAGCACATGGTGATGGCTGACAGGCAACTGACTGTAAATCAAACGCTATTAAGCATATCCCGTAAGAGAGTGGTGAATATTCTGTACAATGAACTTTGGCATGATAACGGTTTCTGCTCGGTGGACGCCACATTTTCTGATACTTGAATAAAAGCGCACGGAGCTGATCACGTCACAGGAAAATCTGACATTGCTTAAGGCAGATCCAACTGGTTTCTTTGAACTTTTCTTAAGCCAGACTGAATGTTGGGTTCATCACAGTTAGCTTGAGACAATCCATGCAGTGGAAACACCCTTCCTCAGATGCCCCAAAGAATGCCAAAGTCTTTTCATTTGTATGCAAGATGATGGTCTCAGTTTTTTGGGATACAAAAGGTATTGTGATTATTGAGTATCTTCAAAAGGACAACACAATCAATGAAGAGTACGATATCAACTTAAGGCAGTTACGAAAGGCTATCAAGATCGAACGACCAGGAAATTTATTAAATTTTATCAGAACAATACCCCAGAACACAAATTCTTGGTTTCAATGGCTGCTCTGTGTGATTGTGACTTTGAACTTTTTGATCACCATCCTTCCCTATTCTCCTGATTTGACCTCATCTGACTATCATCTGTTCTCCAACATGAAAAAACACTTGGCTAGGAACCAGTACCGCGATATTGATGACGTCATATCCTCTGTTGATATCATTTTGAACCAACAGGACGAAAGCTTCTTCGGCAATGGTATCAAAGCATCCACAAGAAGTTATGTGGAAGATTAAACCTCATTTGACCATATTCCATGATAATGTCTTGGTCAGCCTACGAACATTTTTCAGCAGAGTTCAATAAACATTTTCGATCATCAGCCCCTTCAGTTAAAGAAAAACAATCTGTTATTGTTTGCTCATTTGAGTCTCAGAAAGTATTTATTAATCTTAGAGCCACTTTGAAATGGCCACATGGTTCACATTGGCTTGCTGTCTTATGTCCTCGTTGTGAAAGTTTTCTGATTGCTGATCGAAACTATGGCTTTGTTTACCTTGCGATTTTTATTATCCGTCTAGTGCAACATAACAAGGAATCTTTGAAGGAAGGGAAAGTGTTGTATTGTTATTATTTAGTTGTGCCTTTACTTCCTGTTATTAAGTGCGGTGTAGTTGATTCCAGTGTAGAAGTGATCCACTCCTTGGGTAGGCCTTAACTCGCGGCAAAAAGCCTACGTCTCTATTGCTTGAAGTACTAGCCAATCTCATCCTAACTGATAACTAATTATATAACTAAATCTGTCCCTGCCAACAGAACTCAGATAAAAATATTTCCTAAAGACTTTAATTCCAGTCAAAGTGAAGTAACTCCTATTGATTATGCTTGTATATCATTGACATGCATAGAATATAAATATTGTTGTTGTTATAAATGCAGTTCTTCATGTTGTTTCTTTTGCTTGCTTACATATGTGTAAAAAAAAATGTACGGGTTGATTTAGGCCGTCAATACCGCTACAAACATTTGATTTTTATTTTTTATGGTCTTGTGTACGCTCCAGAAGCGTGTGTTTATTTATTGGCGGGGGTTGTTTTTATTGGCTATTTATTTTTATTAAATTGAAAATTTGAAGTATGTTTGAAACCGGGTAAACTACGCGAACCCTTACACGGTGTGTTTAATTTTTTCATTTACCCATT